AATTAATTCGAAATTAAAGCTGGAAAAATGAGATTAACCTTCTTAATACGCCGTATAAGTAACGTGCATTGCGTTCTTCACCCACTCTTATCTCTCTGTTATATACACTATATAAGTTTCCTTATCTTATTTAGACAGGAAAAAAAAAATCTGGGCCGCTCCACCATGGCGAGGAAGAAGGTTTTCAGTGGCATTTTGGCGATTCTGTCGGTTCTCCTCGCCGTGTCCGTTGCGTCAGCGGAGGGGGAGGAGAAGGAGTACGTGTTGACTTTGGATCACACCAACTTCTCCGAGACTGTGTCCAAAAACAATTTCATCGTCGTCGAGTTCTATGCGCCTTGGTATATAGAGCTACGCCTTACATATATCTATTGCCCAAGCTGTGCATTTTTTCTAAAGATTTTATTTTTATTAGTTATAGTTCATTTTGATATCTGCTGGTTGTTTGAAAAATTAGATTTTGTTTATTATGCAAATTTTGAAGTTCTTTTTTACAGTATTATTCGAAGATTTTGCTGCTGATATATTTTTACTAAAGTTGACTTTCTCTAATCTCGATCAGTTCAATTGCTGATTTGGGTGATTTCTCTGCAATTTCAGGCCGTTTGATTTTTGGCGTGTAATAATTAAGTAATTAATTTGGGAAATGAAATTGCTGTTTTCTGCAAATGTTAAATGGTTTAGATTTTTGTGCATTCCTTGACATGTTTCTGACTGAGAGATCCCTCAATCCTGATTTGGTCAACGCATCCGGGTTTCTTTTTTAAAAGTAAACTTGTTTCAAATTCATTCCTTTCAAAACAGATCCCTGGCTTTTCAATATGATGTAGTGTTTGAGGATTAATGCTTTATGAGACAAAGCAACAAAGCCATTGCAGGAATGGATTGGTGCTAATGAATATGGATTCTTGAAATTATATTCATTTCTGCTATTTAAGGGTTATCCTAAATGACATATTTTCTAATTAATTATTTATAAATCCATGGTTAACATGAATGTGTCTACTAGATTCAGAACAGGGAGTTATCAGTAATATATTTTTGTAACTCGGAGCACATACATGCTCATTTCATATGATATGGGATTTGTACATATTTCTTTTATAAGATGCACCTCAACTTTAGGGCTGTGTGCATATGCTGTACCTTGGTTGTTGGAATTTGTTGGCTTGCATTTCGGGATACATTTTCATGAAAAAATAATGGCCAATCTCTTTTTCATTTACCACTCCTTGAAAGATCTAATTTAGACTACTGTTGTAACAGGTGTGGGCACTGCAAGAAACTTGCTCCAGAGGTAATCATTATGTCATCTCAAGATTTTTAAGAGGGACTCGGTCATTGCTTTTTATTAGCATGCTCATCTTTCATTTGTAAAAACTTTATTTTAAAACTAATTTCATTTACTTTGTAGTTTGAGAAAGCTGCATCTGTGTTGAGTAGTCATGATCCTCCAGTCACTCTAGCAAAAGTTGATGCAAATGAGGACTCAAACAGAGATCTAGCAAGCCAATATGAGGTCCAGGGTTTCCCAACCATTAAGATCTTACGTGATGGAGGAAAGATAGTTCAAGATTATAAAGGTCCTCGTGAAGCTGATGGTATAGTTACTTATTTGAAAAAGCAAGTGGGTCCTGCATCATTTGAAATCAAGTCGAAGGAAGATGCTGCTAATATAATTGATGAGAAAAAAATTTTTGTTGTAAGTTTTGGTGTTCCTTTCATACATAATTTTAGTGAATGAACTTCTTTCTTAGTTATTCAACTGCTTACTGATTACTGGTTGAATCCATGTGTTATGCTTTTTAGGTTGGTATTTTTCAAGAATTTTCTGGAGAGAAGTTTGAAAACTTCATAAGTTTGGCTGAAAAGTTACGCTCTGACTATGATTTTGGTCACACACTTGATGCCAAACTCCTTCCTCGTGGCGAGCCAGTTGATAAGCCCACTCTTCGTCTTCTTAAACCATTTGATGAGCTTTTTGTTGATTTCCAGGTATTACTGCCTGCTTTTTGGTTGATTTTTTTCTCGTTGGCATATCTCCTTTTCCTTTTGAAAGAGCAACTCTCATTTTTTGCAGGACTTCCAAGTTGATGCAATGGAGAAGTTCATTGGTGAAGCTAGTACTCCTATTATCACTATTTTTGACCAAAACCCAGAGAATCATCCATATGTTAACAAGTTTTTTGATAGTCCCGATGATAAGGTATTCAAAATTGTCAGAATTTGTTGCCTTGAAAGTATTTCTTTTATGAATTTGTGTTTGAAAATGCATACATAATCTTGCCTTGTGTTAGACAAGGATAACTGGCCATGACAATTCCACAAGGAACTTGGAATTCATTAAAGAATGGTCTACTTTGTGGTGCTCTATGATGATTCTAAATTTCTAATCATGAATCTGGTCTTGGGAAATGGGAACAATTACATTTGTCCTTCTGGCTGCTTTCACTTGGAGAAATTCTTTTGTATAACTTGAAATATCATTGTGAAGAAAGTTACTTTTTAATTGGGATTTTTTCTCTGTAGGCAATGCTTTTCGTGAACTTCAGTAGTGAGCTCAGTGCTTTCAAATCCAAATACAATGATGTAGCTGTGCTTTATAAGGGAAAGGGAGTTAGCTTTCTGTTGGGAGATCTCGAGACCGGTGGTGGTGCACTTCAGGTTCATTTCCATTTTTCCCTACTGAGTGTTTCTAGACAGGATGTTACCCCTGCTGATGTGTTAAAATGTTGTTTTTGATTTGGATTGTAGTACTTTGGACTGAAGGAAGATCAGGCACCTGTAATCGTAATACAGGACAAGGATCAGCAAAAATTCATTAAACCAAATGTGGAACCAGATCAACTTGCAACTTGGGTTAAGGACTACAAGGTAATGTGCTTGGTTTTCTTGTTGCTGGAAGTTATAAGCAGTGCACTTACCCTGACTTTAGGTTGCAATTAATATTGTCTTGTATATTATGATTTGGATTGTCACAATTTTTCACTGAATATATGTTCATATAATTGATGAGCTTGCTCCTGTAGTGCTAGAAGTAGTAGATATCAATATTGTTGCTATATGGGTGCAGGAGGGGAAGGTGGAGCCATTTATTAGATCGGAGCCTATCCCAGAAGTTAATAATGAACCAGTGAAGGTTGTTGTTTCTGATAGCCTTGAGAACATGGTTTTCAAGTCAGGGAAGAATGGTATGTTTCTCATTCCTACTTTTTTATAAACATTTAATCAATTGAATTTTTGTTGCTTATGCAGATGCTAATTTCATATTTAGTTCAGTTGCAAGTTCAGAATTGATTCATTGAAAAATTAAAGAAATTATATTAGTTCAGTTAGAATTTTGTCTCATGGGAAGTTATATTTCTTTCTTGGAGAGGGAGATGATTTTGTCCTTGAAATACTTGGCTTGCTATTTTGTCTCATGGGAACTCATATGGACTGAGGCTTACTTCTTAGCCCATTAGCTTTATTGTTTTCCTTTTCTCATTCTTGACAGCCTTTTTTGGATTTATTTTTTGCTTCACCTAGCAAAAGAATAATTACATGTACTACTATGGGATTTGATACCCATTATCATGTTTGTTTGCCTACTTTTGCTATCCTACTGTTGGATTCAAATCCTTAAGTGATTATAAAACCCATTACCCTTTTCCTCTACTTTTGAACAATGGGGAAAAAATAGGAAGAAAAAAGAAGTTCATTGTCCATGACTCCATGCATTAAATATGAAACTTTAATATATATACACATAAATGTATGTGTATGTATAATATATATGTCTATATATTTATTTATTTTTATTGTAATTAACTAATTATATATTTATTTATTTTGATTCAAATTCCTATTTGCTACCAAACAAAGAGGCTCTTTTGACTTAAACCAATTATCATTACCATTATCATTCTGATTCCAATGTTTGAACCAAATACACCTAGTATATATTTTAACCTCTCTTTCTTACAGTTCTGCTGGAAATCTATGCACCTTGGTGTGGCCACTGCAAGAAGCTAGCTCCAATCTTGGATGAAGTAGCAGTGTCGTTTGAGAATGATCCTGATGTCATGATAGCGAAACTGGTAAGAACTTTGATCCATAATAAAAAAAAGTTGAGGAATGTTCCTTTTATGAGATCAAAGTCCATAAATCCTTAACCAATTCTTTATGATTCATAGTTTCTTGAACAAAAGTGACAAAATAAATCCACCAGTGAAAATTGTACTACATCCCGTGATTGTTATTGTATCTGAAGCTTAGTCCTAACCTCTACCCACATTTTTAGGATGGAACTGCAAATGATATCCCTGGCAAAAAATTTGATGTTCAAGGATACCCAACTGTGTACTTCATATCTGCAACGGGTAACATAACACCATATGAAGGTGACAGAACAAAAGATGACATTATTGACTTTATCCAGAAGAACAAGGATAAACCTCTTCAGTCAGACTTCATTAAATCAGATTCAGTGAAAGAAGAATCCGCCAAGGATGAGCTGTAAGGAGGTGAGGTTCAATTTCCATTTTTATTTAATATTGCATAGTGTAAAATGGGGTGATGGATGCACTAAAAATTTCAACTTTGAATTAAAAGAGTTTTGATGCTAGGAATGTCTTGCTAGGGTTTTTTTTTTTTCCTGAAATTATCCCAATATAGATGGACCTTTCTATTAATTAAGATTTAAGAATCAATGAATGTATGTGCATTGATTCATTCACAAGTGACCAGACCCAGAAGCCTCTATGGCGGCTGTATCCCATTGCTGTTAATGTTTGAATTGTGCTTGATTCTATATTTTGAGGAGTTTTGTAGTGGAATATTTTAACATATCCTGAAACCCTTCCTCTTCTGTAATGTAGTAATAATAATGTCTAAGCAAGTGAAACTATCAGCTATTTCAACGAACACTTCACTTAATATTTTCTGTTTTCACCCCTTATGCAGGTTAGGGAGTCGGAATAGCACAGCGAGTTCAAGTTTTGTCACCAGACAATTCTGCCTTTTTTTTTTTTTTTTCTTCTGTTGTGGCTTTTACTTTCCTATTCCTATGAATAAGATGTTATTTAGTTTTTGATCTGAGGGTGTTTTAGTTAGCTCATAACTGTGAACTGTGAACGTGTAAGTCTCGTTTAATCTAGAATCAATATACTCTGATCCCTTCTTAGATGCAGAAATTGCGTGCCTTTCTCTGCCATTATTGTCGTTGCACCTCACTATATAGTAAACATAATTAGTACACCACTTCTATATTGCACCAATACACTTGTATTTTGATGGGTGGCAATTGTATTTAGTAGAATCAAAATGGGTGGTAAGTTTTATTGAGTATGATGAGCATTGGTATTGTCTTAAGTTGTGGAGCATTGTTGCGTGGTGACTGGTGAATCTTGCTCCAAAAAGGGGCCACCTCGATCACCTGGTCAAGCGTGGTGGTGCGCCGCGGCGTCCCTCTTCATACCCCATTCGTGAAATCTCAAGTGCAGCTCGGCAGCAGCAATCAAGAAATGTGCAGCCTGGATTAAGTTTAGAATGTTAACCATTTCCTTGAGCGTACTGAGTCGAAGATCATCAGCCTTCTGAAGGATGTCTACCATTGCTTTCTCCTTGGGTGCCAGAGCGGAAGCAACTTGTTCATCCCGGAGTCCATGTTCCTCCATTGTTTCGTCACCAGCCCTTGTTAACTCGGTCACCATGTGTGACCACTCGACCATGGAAGCGTCCGCCACCGACTCCTGCACCTGGGCGTGCTTCTCGACCAGCTCATTCTCTTCCCTTATCGTCTTCCTCTGCAACTCGTCTACGAGGGTGAGTTGATCAGGGGAAAGGTCTCCCAAGTCACCTGTCCTGAGACCACTGAGTAGCTCTGAGAGCCTTGGCTCGAGCTGTAGGCCGGACTTGGAGTAGAGAAGATGGAAAGCCATAGAAGGCCTCCATCCCCCGATCCACATGAAAGCGTCCTCCATTTTGCTCCTCCACGAGGGGGTTAACATTGCTATGATGTCCCGCTTCTCGTATCTGGACTTAACTTTGTAATAATGCTCGTAGTGATTGAGCACACGTTGAATGAGAGGACGCAGGTGATTGTGGTTGTGGTTGTCCTCGCCAGCTTGATTAGTACTGCTTCTGCCGTCTTGACGGTGAGTCTTAACGGCAGATACAAGCTGTTCGAGGTCTCGTTTTTGCTCAACAAGCCAAAACTCAAAGAACTTTTGGAATCCCTCACTCTCAGCCATGATACATACATATTGCACAAAATAGCATTTGGTTTCATCCAAATATATACTGAATGAAGGGGGTTTGGGAGATAAGAGATCGTACGTTAGCCGACATGACATTGAAATATAAACAATTTCTGGTTCTGTGTGCGTATCGTATCTGGTATTGCCGAATTACAACAACTTGCCCGGATTGGTTCGCAATTTCACGTGGATCGAGATTTATTGATGGGTTGCAGAGAATAATTAAAAACATTAGTTCATGGAGTTGGAGTAAATTATTTCTAAAACTCTATTGGATCTAAATTAAAGTCCGCACCCATCCCACAACTTGCATTCTCTTCGTTTATTATTATTATTTTTTCTTTGAAAATCTGGAAATGCTTCAGGACGAAGGAAATAAACAAGCCTCCATTAGATAAAAAATAAGAAGGAAATCCTAGTGGTTTTTACGTAGTGTTATAAAAATCAGCCTAAGCGGCCGTCTAGGCATTAGGCGTCCTTAAGCCAAGACAATTTCAGTCTTAGGTTGCTTTTAGTCGGTTGACCAACTAGGCACCCTAGGCGTCGAGTTGGGCGCCTAACTAAGATGAGTTGGCGCTCAACTCGACCGAGTGCTTTTTTTTTTTTTTTTTTTTTTGACTTGCTCGACTACTTCTTTTATATATTTCTCCAGTTATGTACTTAATTAATAATCTAATATAAGTAGTTGACTAGTTTAGGGATTATAACAGTCTAACAATTCTTAGCTCTGAGAATGAAAAAAGTGAAAATAATATTCTCAGATTACTCAGCCGCTTAAACACTTTGGGTGTTCAACTAGCACTTAGCGTCTTTTGCAATATTGCTTGTGCGTGTATTTAAGAGGAGGATATATCATGCCAAATTGCAAGTTTGCATGTATATGTCTACATACTTTGTTCCATTACAGCTCACTCTACTATTCACTTTTTAAAATTTGATTCTCACCCTCAAAATGTAAATTTAGGCTAAAGTACATTGTAATTTTCATATGTTGCAGTTTTTAATTTTAATTTAATTTTATTTTTGTCTAACTATAGATTTCCTCAACCAATTAATTAATTAGGATTTATGTCTGTCTCATCCACATCATTATGTGTGGATTGAAGTTTCAAAATCTTTGACAATTGGTTTAAAGTAGTCAAAATCTTCAAATGAGACTCAAAATTGGGTCGTTATATCGTGGACCGCTGTGCACATGCACCGTGGTCAAACGACGCCGTTAGTGTTAACAGAGCGCGCATTTTTTGTATGTTAATTACCAACTGACACTACAGTATATTTAAATTGATACTGCCTCACGTATTATTTTTATGTTATTAAATGAAACTGCAATTATATCAAAATGATATTGTAGTTGTGGTGAAATGAAACTGCAGTTATATCAAAATGATACTGTAGTTGTGGTGAAATGAAACTGCAGTGTATATAAAATGAAACTTAATAACATTTCACATATTTGAGTGTATATTGTACAATGTAATTATATCAAAATGATCATGTAGTTGTGTTTTAATAAAACTATAGTGTATATAAAATTAAATTAAATAACATTTTCACATATTTGAGTCTATAAATATCGAATGAAACTGTAGTTATATCGAAATGAAACTGTACTTGTGTTGAACTGAAACTACAGTGTATACAAAATAAAACTCAATAACAGTTATTTTTTGCGGAAGGGTGCGGAACGGCGAGAAACGGATGACGTTTCTTTCATTAAACAAAATGACGTCGTTTTGATGTGCGGTGCATAATCGATTATGCACTATGGTGCACAATATAATTTGCCCTCAAAATTAGACTTTAAATATAGTATGAAGTGACAAAAAAAAAATTTGACGTTTAATTTTAACCCTTAATTTATATATTTTGATTATTTTAAGGGAAAATTGCACTTTTTTCCCCTAAGTTATATATATATAGCAGTTTTTCCCTCTGAATTATTCATGTAAGCACATTAGCCCCCTCAATTTTTTTTAAAAGTTGCGGTTTTTCCCCCTGATATATTAAATTGACATTTCTACCCTTAAAATAAACATTTTATTTATTTTTATTCTCCAACAAATTGTTGCGTATACGTAGGGATACCACGGTTCGATTCGAATTGAACCAGACACTATAGCAATCGAATTAAAAGTTTGTGATTATGATTCAGATCCAAAACCCAATATTTAGATTCAGTTTATTAAAATTATGAATCGAAAAAACTGGATCCTGAACCGTGAACCGACGGTTCCGGATCCGGTTCGCGATTTTGAACCGTCTTTGTTTTAAAATTTTATTTTTTATTTTAAAAAAGTATAAATTCAACAATAAATGCATTTTATTTTTTTCAGTTCAGAATACGAACAGGCTGTCCCGGTTCGCGATTTTAATAAACTCTAAATATCGGGTTTCGATTCTAAATTGTAATTAGAATATTTCGGTTTGGTTTCTATAGTGTCTGTTTGATTTGAACCAAATTGTGATCATAATTGGTTGGGGAAGAAAAATAAATGAATTGAAATATTTATTTTGAGGGTAAATATGTCTATTTAACATTTTAGGGGGAAAAACAGCCACTTGAATAATTCAAGGAGAAAAAGTGCTATAAGTATATAACTTATAGGGGGAAAATGTGTCATTTTCCCTTATTTTAAACATCTTTTTTTTTTTTTTTTACTGAAACACAAAGAACCAATAACGCCTCCACTGAGGCTTGAGAACTCATAACCTTCCAAATGAAAGTCCAACCCGAGTACCATTAGACTACATAGTCCTGACAATTAGTGTGTATATGTCGCAAATTATGCCCTGGAAATGTGTTCACCGTGAATGGTGAACACAAGTCCAAACGACGTCGTTTTTACGCAAAAAAAAAATAAAAAATAAAAAATAAAATTCGCAGATGTGGAGTTAACGGCGCGCGTTTGATCAAATTATGAATTTTCTGTTATGAGATTATGAATGTAATATAAATTCATAATCTGATAACAGAAAATTCATAATCGCATAAAAGTAAAATATTTATTAAATTATGAATTTTCTGTTATGAGATTATGAATTTTCTGTTATGAGATTATGAATGTAATGTAGATTCATAATCTCATAACAGAAAATTCATAATTTCATAACAGAAAATTCATAATCTCATAACTGAAAATTCATAATCTTATAACAGAAAATTCATAATCTCATGGTTCCAAAGTGAATGTGTAGGCATGGTTCCAAAGTGAATGTGCAGGCATGGATTCATAATTTATGAATGTCCGTGATTTCGGACAGGAATGTGTAGGCATGATTCCAAAGTGAATGTGCAAGGCATGAATTCATAATTTATGAATATCCGAAATCATTGCTCACCTCAAATTAAAGTGAAACCGCAAAATGTGAAAATGAAGAAGAAAAGTCACACAATTAATTAAGAAAAAAAAAAAAAAGATAACGGTGTAGTAACACCGTTGGAACATGGTGAACACGGTTCCATGGCATAACGATTGGTGTATATGTAGGGTATCCCCTTCCTTAAAAAAAAAAAAAATACAAGTATACTTATACATCAAGTAAAATTATTTTAAACATCTTATTTAGGCATCAATATGCCAATTTAAGAGAAATTACAACTTTTTCATCATACTTGACGGTTGGATAGCTGATTTTGTTACACAAGACTAAATTTGGCAAATTCTCAAATCTCAACTACTTTTCAAATTTAAAAAGAGTAAAATGAAAATGTGAAGAATTCTCTATTTTTTCAATTTAGAACACTTTTTTTTTTTTTGTTAATATTTTTCAAAACTTTTAATACAAAAACATATATAATTTCACTTAAAACACCAGTAAGTTTACTTATGAAGTCTTACACTTCATATTTACTCGCTTCTACCTATATCTACTTTAGGGTCCGTTTAAAAACCAGGAAAATAACTTATGGAAAATATTTTCTGGAAAATGAGTCATTTTCCGAAAAATATTTTTTTTTCTTGTGTTCAGCAGCACGGCAGAAAACAGTCTTTGTGTGTTTGGTTCATTTTCTGGAAAATGAGATAGAATTGTATAATTAAACATTTTATATAATTAATTATTTTTTTTAAATAAAAAAATTATAATAATATTTATTTTTTTAAATCAAATAATATTACTTATTAAAAAGTTAAAAATTAAAAAAAAAAAAAAAGATGACCGAAGAAACCAGAGAGAACTTCTCTCTGGTTTCCCTTGCTCTCGTTGTCGTTTTTATTTTTTATTTTTTTTTTAATGTTTCTGGCGGAAACCAGTGGTCTGGTTTCCGCCGGAAACATTGTTGGTGGAGTTCTCGCTGCTCTGAAGGAGGAGGCGGAGCTGAAATGAAGCAAGTGTGTGGAGAAGATGGAAAATGACTTCCCTAAAAAAAAAAGGGGAAGTCATTTTCCGGAAATTTGGGCTCATTTCCATTGACTTCTCTTCATTTTCCTTTGACCATTCATTTTCCAGCCTAGCCAAACACCCAAAACCCGTAAAATGATTTCCAGAAATCATTTTCGGGTTTCCAAACAGACCCTCAACTATCCCAACCATTAATCCTTGCGTGCTTACCCAACCACACCATTACCACCACTTCCATTATAATCATCATTTTATTTTGATATTACCTTACTTGAGACGGATCTCAAATATGCAATATTTTGTTTTTGTAAAAATATAATACTTATATATATATATATATATATATATATATATATATATATATATATATATATATATATAGTAAATACCAGCCAAGGTCCTTCGAGTTTGGTGGTTTCACCATCTATAGTCCCTAACTTCCGTAATTACCATCCGTGGTCCTTCGAGTTGCGAAAATTGACATGTTGCTATCCTCCCGTTAGTTCCTGCCGTCTAAGCCGTCAAAAGAAACGGTAAAAATGTCATTTGTCATATATAATTCTTTTTTATGTATTTTTTGTTATCTCACGTAGAGGAGCAGCTAGCTGTCGGCAACGGCCTTCCTTCCCAGCGAGCCATCAGAATGGCGGCAACAGAGAAGACCAGCAACACCACCATCCTTGTCTCTTCTTCTCTTCTCACCCACTTTTCGTCCTTCTCCTTTTCTTTCTCGGCCGGCGAGCAGAAGACGGGAAGCAGCGGATTTAGCGACGCTCTCATCTCCTCCGGTGACCTCCGTTTTTCCCAGCGAGCAGGGCACGAAGGCAACCTAGCAGATCGACGCCGACACCTTCTATTTTTGGCGGCTGATCTCTCTTTCTCTCTCTCGCTCTTAGCCAACGGGTAAGATGGGTCAGCGGCGAAGCAGCAACG